ACCCAAATTGAATTACTTCCAATGGAAATTAAACAAATGTTGGTCCAAAATGTGATTTCCCTATATAAACTATAGTAAAGTTTACCCCCTCCCCAGGGGGAAACATGAGACCCCAGGGTCAAGAAATTCACAATTTTTGTAAAGCACCTTAAGACCCTTCCATATATGAAGAGTATTTGATTCTACCATATCTGGGTCTTGAGAAGAAGATTTTTGAAATTTTAGTCATTTTGACCCCTTTTGGCCCCGCCCCTCAGGCCCCTGGGGGCTTGGGACTAAACTGGCCACTATTTGTGTTGACCATTGTCCATGGAAGGTCCCTACGACGGGCAAAAGGCGATCGCAATAGGTCACTTGAGACTTTGTCNCATCTAGTGAATTTCATCTGCTCTATGAGAACGATGTTTACCGTAGCACTGCGTCAAATATGTATCAAATAATTCAAGAATATATAATAGACTTGTGAATCTTAAGAAACTTCGATGTACGATATATTTTTATGTAGGATTTACGTTGTTGGGACCGATGTTTCACTTCGGGATATCCGAGTTTTCCGAGTTTTCAGAGTTCGAATTATCAGAGTTTTTATTACTAAGATTAAGAGGAGTTATATATTGAAAAAGTTCAAAAATATGTATCTGTTGTAATAGATAGCTAGATAAATATTAGGGGCAAGGTTTTGCAATGTTGTTTGCAACTGACGATGTAATATTCAAAATCACTGATGAGTATGTTTGCTGCCACCAATAAAAAGACACAGTAACTTTGATATTCAGAGCAAAGAATAAAATACTGGTTCTCTCGTAGCGAACTATTCGGCAAATCAATCTTAATTATCCATATTTAAGCTTTAATAATTTCACTTTGAGATGTCTCGATTTTCCCATGTTGTTTTGCAAAAGAATATCTGCCGTCTCGTCAAAACACTCCATTACATGAAACGTTGCAGATCATCCTCGAAACAGTCCCCCTTGTGTTGACAAGATAGATAAACATGACATATGCGCATGCGCAAGCGCATCAAGACGTCACGGAAATGATTAGGAGCTAAATTTGGAATTAAATGTTATAATTGAACAGAGCAAGTTACCATTCGGTGTAAGGTCGAAGCGGCCAAGTATGCGACGATTCTCAACAAGGCAATGGCAGAACACACATTTCGGTGGACGCTGTTCATTATATTATTGGACATGTTTCGTATTATCGGATAAGTTAGGTGTTCGCTTAAGCGCTGCGGGTGACGCACTTTCAGAGGTGTCCATAAAATACATCATAGGATATAAATTGATTCACAGTATGCGGCATTATAGAGCTTTAAACTTGTGTCAGACATCTAAATAATGTCGTAGCCAAGTCATTAACAATATATTGTCCATCTCTATATGACTGGTTATTCAATAAAACAAAACGTTTGCTAATGACGGCTGCATGTACCTACATTGCATGAGCTTGTGTGAGATAAATTTGGAAATATTTTGCATGACTTAAGAACCATAAATACATAATGTATTTAAAACGGTAGATATCATATTGGTATTTTGAAGTGTTAAGGGTGTCGAATAACAACAGTATGGGTTTAAAACATGTTGAAATTTTGTACCTTTGTAAAAAAAACGCAGGTAAACTTTAATTTTACCCGTCACCCGTTCGATGGAGATTTTGTATCACGGAGAGAGTAACTGGCGAAGTAATACCTGTCACACGTTGGACAAAAATGTTGTGTAGTTTATTTATAGAAATTAGTGTTCGTTAACTTTAGAGTTGAAGTTCTTTTTTCTTTTCTTTTTTTTTCTTTTTTTTTCTTTTCTTTTAAAAATAGGGACTTTAGGCAAAAGGTTATTTCATATCAACATCACACTACTCCAATACCACATGACAAAGGTAAAAAAAATGTGATATTGTTTTACATACTCCAACTCTCGCCTCTGATATACACAATTCAGTTGTAAAGCCCCAGTCACACTGTCACTCTATTGCCAATGGTATACCCTGGTTGTTCCCGGTTTCTTTATAAGGTGGCAAATATTGGTCTTCTCTCCAATTTGACAATCTACGGTGTTGCTGGGGTGTTGTTACGGATATTAAGGTGTTTATACGATTACACTACGATAGATGCCGACACTACTCCGATACCACTACGGACCTCTACGATAGGCCAAGGTAAATCCAGGTTCCTCTAAGGTATCATCACGGATTGTCAAGGTTTGACTACGGTTTGTCCCGGGTTTCCACGGTTGTGTTGCGGTGGCGCTACGTCATCACCGGTTCCCTCACGGTGTCACTGCGGTAGCGCTACGGTTTGTCACGTGACGGCCCGGGGGCTATATATATTGGAACAAATTTTCTAATTCAAAATCGTTTCTCTTTAATGAACCAAACGAGAAGGAAGTCTCACACTACTTTAAGCCCCCTTTTGTTTCGTTGCTGAATATCTGGGACCATCACCATGTAGTTTGCAACTTGCTACATGTTCAATTCTAGAAGCCATGTCATCAGCTGAAGTTTGTTTCTGTGATTGATGATGACAAAGTCTATGATGAAACCCTATCGAAGACCGAGTTAAAACAGATTTTGTTCCCAATTTATAGCACACTGACCCGGAACCGTAACAAACTTTATTCCTGCCGTCACTGCCGTAAAGCAAACGTAGTTCCACCGTAATATAGACGTAGTGTACTTTGGAAATCATGGAGAAACCGTGGATCGTCGTAGTGATATATTTTCAATGCCTCCGCTAGGAGTCGAACCCGGGACCTCTGGTTTACTAGTCTTACGCTCTACCGAATGAGCTAAAGAGAAATTCTCCCTAGCCGAGACGGTAGGAAGCGGCTAGTATTTTACCAGGGTGACAATGAAATCGTTTTAGAAACGGCACATACCGTGTTAGAACACGGTTCACCATACAGGGGTCGTTGGTGGTCGTAATGACACCGTATTATTGCCATGAGTCTCCCTAGTGCTGCTGTGAGTTGGCATGACTCCCGAACACTACGGTCACCCCCGGATGGCCACGGAAGCCTGCATGGCGATTTTACGGAGGTTCTTCGGAAAGACCGGTGGTACTACGGTTACAATATATTTTTCAAAATACCATGGCTCGGCTACGAAAGACCCCGGATTTTTTAGACTGTTTAAAACTACCGTAGCGAGCTACGAATCACCCAGGATAAACACAGATTACCCCAGCTTCAATACGAACTCGCTACGGATTACCCAGGGTTTTTCCCGGTTAACACCACCGTAGCTCACAGTGACTATATACCGGCACAGTCTGACTGGGGGTTTATGTTACACTTCTTACCGGTAACATTAACTAACCTTAAATATCATGAACACAATTTTACAACAGCGAGAATCAGTATTTGTATTCTAAACGTGAAATCGACACTTCATGAAGTCCAAGCTTTATAGAGTATGGCTACTAATACTTAAACATTTCAGATGGTCCTTTAACTGTGATGTTGACCCCGACGACTACATCCTACACTTTAACAGAAGGACAGACTCTCCCTACCGTCATGTCCTTGTCTGACTGTAACCCAGTATGTGCCTACAGCTGGACAAAGGATGGACAGTCCCCCACAACAGGGTCAGATCTCCAGCTCACCAATATACAACGTGGTCAGACGGGCGTGTACCGGTGTACGGCCAGTAACGGATACGGTAGTCGGACATCTATTGACGTCAGTGTTACTGTAAACTGTACGTATTAATAACCGTGACATGGTTGTCTCTTGCTAGCTCTGTAATTGTCATAGGAATAAAATAGTATGATTTTTTCTTTGTTTAGGAAAATACAAAATGGAAGATATTTAATTATGTTTGTATTAATTTACAATTTACCATGCTTTTATAACTAATCTCGCCAGTGACTACAAATGATTGACGCTAGAATATTTTTCAGAGGATTATATCTATTACCTCAACAGCCGTATTACGACGTCGTTTAAAAGAAAGTTAATATTAACATTTTAAACTCAAAATAAGTCAATTTTATTGATATATTTTACCTTTTGATTCAATTGAGTTTTCGTCTCAAACAAAACGGTTTGAAATCGGTATGGTTAATTGTCCAAGGGGTAAAAGTGCCCCCCCCCCCCCCCTCCGGTAACTCACATTTAAGTGGAAACTTTATTATTCACTGGATACTGGATCCAGGTATTTTTACCATTTGAAAAAAACAAACGCTTCTCTTTGACAATTGAGTAACAATCATTTGAGGTTACATAAAATATATCGCGCTGGTCACAAACAAGTATAATTTAAAACCAATTATAAAGGTGTTTTTCTGAAATGAGTCTTAGTCTTGAAGAAGAAATACACTAAAGATATATTAACATATTGAGATAAAACAGGACTAAAACAGGTGATGGCTAATAAATAGCTCATGCCTGACAATATTGCCGATATAACATTATCATATTGACCGACACATATAATTGTTTGTATCTAAGCATTACATAGACATTATTGTAAGCAATAACATAGTTTTCACCGGCGATGTATGGTATCCTGCGATCAAGGATACTATTTTGACACTCAGAAAACATGCTATATGAAACTTCTAGTCAGTGTGTGATGTGTATGTGTTTATCTTGTAGACGGTCCCGGGGCGTCTGTTTCAATTTCTCCACCGGACAATACCTACACCAGGACTGAGGGGGATACGTTACCGGATATCACCTGTACAGCTGACTGTAGACCTGGCTGTACCTTTGTCTGGACAAAACCTGACAACACCAACTTTACTGCCTCAGCTGTGTTGTCACTGGGACAACTGGACAGATCAGAACACGGGACGTACAGATGTACGGCTAGGAATGTTGCCGGAGAGTCAACTACAACTACCAGTGTTATCGTTACAGTACAGTGTAAGCAACTTAAACTAAATGTTCATCTGAATCTGACTCAGTAGGGCATTGTCCGTTTAGAAAAAAGATGAACATATCAGTTAACTCATTTCTTTAAATCGTAAAATTAACGGTTGAAAAAAATATATCAGTGTGAAATTGTATATGCATCACCTATGTGTACAGCCTCTGCAAAAGTAAATGACGAAATCATCTGTAGTTAGGGGGCATATAAACAGCTGTACAACTGAACGATCGGGAGGGGGATATGAAGGAAGTTATAGACGTAAAATTTACAAAGCTGGATACATCTGATTAGTATAGACAGTCAGCGTGCAGTTCGTTGAATATGACAACATCTATGCTTTACATCACACATAGACTCATACACAATGTACCGTTTATTAAAATGGTATTGATTGCAGAGACACTCGCGAATAATCAGTGTAGTTGAATACAAAGTAAATGGTTACATTGGTTTGGTTAACATATATTTGTATTGTGGGTAGTTATACAAGTCCTCCACTAATTTTATTCAATAACCAACAGCGTGCATGTACAAAGATATCACATCAGTGTTCATGTTATATTGAATCTATTGAACAAGTTCAATAATTTGATTTGACACGAGATTTAAAGCAAATTTTTAAATAAGTTATATAAGTACACACGAATGTATGATTATTTTTTTATCACAGAAAACAATAACAAAACAAAAAAAAACATATACATACAAATGGAAGAGACCTGTTTTGCATTCTTAAAGTTACAAATTATTGCATTAGCACCTCGAAAAAAAAAAAAAAAAAAAAAAAAAAAAACACGTTTTTATTGTAGACGGTCCTGGTACCTCTATCACCTTGTCCCCACCTGACACTTCTTACTCCAGGACCGAGGAGGATACGTTACCGGACATCATCTGTACAGCTGACTGTAGACCTGGTTGCACTTTTGTCTGGACAAAACCTGACAACACCAACTTTACTGCCTCGGCTGTGTTGTCACTGGGACAACTGGACAGATCAGAACACGGAACATACATATGTACTGCTCGGAATGATATTGGAACCTCAAAGACAACAACAACTGTTACCTTACAATGTAAGTACGATTGGTTTCTTTTGATATGTGCGCAGTAAGCAGAGCTTTAATATCATCACACTGTCCGTCACTCCGTCTGTAAGCCAGCTTACATAATCTTGTAACTGGTACCAGTGTTTGAACGAAACCTTTGCCTCTGTGTAATTTCTGAGCAGATCTTCTAATATGTTAATGGCCATGACAGTTTAACCAATTCTTATTAATCGAACTCATTTGCAAAATATAAAGATATTATTGTCTTAGTTGTTTGACATTTAACACGAAAAATCAATATGATATGTTTTGACAATAAATATATATATGTCAATTATGTAGGCGCACATACACGTAGTACACACTTATATCTGTAGTTTGACCCACGTTAAAGTTGGCGGAAAATTCCATAAATGCAAGACACCGCCTACATTAATAACACCTATACTTCTTAGCTATTTATAAAAAAACGGTCATGATATTTTAACACTTATGAAACTTGTGATATTTGTTAGAGATCAAAGTTATTCAAATTAACACTTTCATTTCCTGGTATGTAGGCAGTGTTCACTTTAAACATAATTGCCTTTGAAAACTTCAGAACGAGATTTGTTACACGCTTTGGCAATGGTAGATTGTACATATAGAGGATCTTACATGAGTGACAATGTCATAATAATTTTACTATACCAGTTCAATTATTTGATATGACATGTACACGAATGTAAGATTTTATTTATCTCATAACATTCATAATTTGAAGAAAATTTCAAACGCAATTAGAATTGTATGTGTTATCAGCTGACTCTATATAGGAAAAAGTTGTTCGATCATTGTTTAGTCGTTCCACGCAGTGCAAAGTAGTTTCAGATTTTGTGTTTAGAAACAGTGAAATTAATAATGACAAAATTACGGTTACAAATTCATTTAATATATCAGTAACTGTATCATGTGGTATAAAAAAATGAAAGAATTCCCTGGCGTAGGAATATTCTCCCTCAGTTTTCATTAATCGCAGCACCTTTAGGTTTTCTTACATGTGTGTAATACCATGTTTATCACGTGGCCGTATGACATCTAAAATTGGTTTATTATGTGATACAAGTTTTGTTTTGTAAGTGCGTCCGTTGTAAATACATGATAACATCATATATAATGAGTGCCTGAACAAATTTGGTTTATATTTACATCATGATATAGTAATACAAAATTATACAGAGGAACATATTTTCGCGGTTATCGGTCAACGATAGAGGACAATCGTATGGTGAAATCAAGTTGTAAACGTGACTTGATTTTGTGGTTATCGGCAAGGTTAACGGGTAAGAATTAAACCTTGCGTACAAGATATCTGATATATTTCAACATCATATTTACACCAAAATATGGTTACATCGATATTAACACATGATAAGACAGTGGTGGCCATCATCCAAACTTAATGTTTAAAGTCAAAGTTTACACATTTCTACTTCTTGACAAAACGACATCTGTACAACAGAAACCAAATTCACTTGATATGTATACAACAGCTTGATAATGTCCCGTGTACAGGTATGTAGGGGTACACGTTTAAGAGTCGGTAGTTAAAGGGAAACAAGGGTTACACTGGAAGTCTTAAGGGCTTTATCCTTGAAAACATCACACTGATTGCTGTTATTTGTTACCAAAAGAGCGCTTTTGCATTTTGACTCTTTCCAAAAAAAGCCTGATCTCTTAATTGATGATGGGATTACTCTTTATTTAAGCATGTTTGCTGAAAAATAATCACTTAGCATCCTAGTTAATAAATCAAAGATAGATATATTTACCCTTTGTAGCCTAAAACTTGACCTTTCAATTTTTGAAATTATGAAGCCATGATGTGACCACTCTCAAAGTGATGATATGAAAAGAAACAATTAAGTTCCTCGTATAAGTCAAAAGCTTAAGGGGAATTAGTTTCCTTAACAGGAATATTACTCTAGGGACTTCATGACTTTGGTTATCATTTAGCAGCAATCAAATTTCGTCAAATGGAAAAAACTCCGATTAATTTCGCTTTTAATGCTTTCTTGACATAACAAAAATAGACAAACTTTTCCTGATAGTATGTATATTAAAGTAAACATATATATCATATATATGTATACTATTTTAAATTATGTGATATATATGCTGTAAATTTGTGTTGTTTTGAACGTTGGCTATAATGAACGTGTCTGGTTGTATGTTTAATCTTATTCATATCTTTTTTTCAAATTTAATTACTGGAAACTGTGTAATAAACAGACACAAAATTATCTAAACATGTTTCCCCAGATGGGCCAGGAGACAGCATTGCATTCGAACCGATGCAAGATATAGTAGAGAGAGTTGAAAACCAGACTGTCCCAAACATAAAATGCTTTGCTGACTGTAGACCACCATGTACGTATAGCTGGTCCAAATCAGGTACTGTTCGTCCAAATCCACTGTCTCTGTCGAAAGTCACGAGGACCAACGCTGGGACATACACGTGTATAGCTAATAACACCATCAGCAAAGGAACGAACGACTGGGACCTTATTGTGAAATGTAAGCATTTATTATGAAAATTTGCTCACATTTAAAAATATAACTTATTTACTCGATGTGCTGAAGTAAATGTTTCATCAATACACCTATATGTTTTACTGGTAACGGTAACTGTTTTATTGTTACCTTTCATACAAACTTCATTGAAGATGATTTCATAAACATGTATTGTGTTGATATTGATATCAAACTCTGGTATATAACAAGGGACATGTTTATTAAAGGTCTCACTTTTGTATCATATTAAGTGTATTTTTTCAATAGATTACTTATTTTATGATGTTATAAATAATGTAATTTCCTGAATTCTTTTTTATCCATTTTTCTTTATAACACGTCGATTGTTTGTCGTTTTAATCCTATAACGCATACATATAGATCTGGAATTAGAAGTTACTGCAGGTAATTATTTGAAAAACTAAATATCAAGACAAATGTGGAAATCCTATGACATGTTTTCATAACAGTTAGCAGCTTTTTATTGAACCGTTATGTTTGACATTTTTGTATATGTTAGTTAAAATTTTCAATTAATGGGAAGACAAGTTACTTCGTACTTTTGAGAGCAAGAACATCATTTCAGCAGAGTCATGCAAATTGAAGTATTCATTTGAAAATTTAGTTTGAAGATGCAGTGACTCCAATGAAACTTATACTTTATACATGTACTTGAACATCCACACAATGTTGAGAGGTAAAGGCAAGTGTCTAACCATCCATCACTTACATATATGTATCCCATGCGTTGTTATTGAAATTGACTAGTTGTTTAACAGTTTTCATTACACATAACATGTTTTGGAAACGAAATTATCTTTATACCCAATACCTTCGCCTTCACCACGCAAATCAACTACGAGTTGCATGAGTAATGGATTGTCCTCCAAGCCCCCTTAGCATTACCTATGGAAAGTACCTATGGAAATGAATATGCTCTTTCGGTAGTACATTGAAGGCAGCACTTTATTTTACAAGCCCCCAAGAGCTTTGTTCTGCATGCAGAAACAATGAAATAAATATGTTAACAAATACTGAAGCTACTGTAAACATCAGATATTTCCCTGCATTGCAAATAAAAATAAACATGATCATGATCGTTTCAGACACAAAGGCCCTATGTCATCATGGCTCAGACTTTTATAGCCGTTTTCTATCAATAACTTAGTCACTTTTTTAATAATGTGTCATACAGTAAAGTTGTGGTTTACCTATATTAGCAATAAATAGTATACACGTATAGCGACATGTATGATAACTACATCTGTTCGCATATTTCAAAGTTTCTTGAATGTTTATCATGTAATGTGTTAAAATCATAACAGAAAAAAATAAAACACAAGTATAGTTTAACTGTCATTATATATACGTCCCGGCGCCATAACGTGTCACTAATGACACGAAATCTTCATACATTTTCGTCATTTTTATAAAATAAATATTAACAAATGATTTTGTCATACAGGTGTGTTTCTTCCTCTTGGAGTGAATCATATATTTGTTTCTGTAATCTCGGAATTACGTAACAAATTATTAACCAGAAATTGAGTAGATGATTCAGCTCCTATCCAGATTGAAATCGATTTGTTTCGTCAGACGTTAACTGGATTAAATTCTTTATTGAAAAATCATCGAATTCAAACCAAAACGTTATTGTAATGCATAGATACATAATTAGTTATTCTACATTTCAGTTCCTGCTGAAATAGACAGCCTTGAGTACAACCAAGGAGACGCTGATGTGACGGAACACGGATCCAAGACTCTCATTTGTAAGGTGGAGAGTGTCCCATCGTCTACAATAACATGGTACTACAAAAACAATGACAAACAGCTGTTTACCGCCACAGATGTACTGGAGAGTAGCTACACCCTGACTACTGCTGGCTGTCTGGATACAGGACTTTACACATGTTCTGCTAGGAACAGTGTATCCAACACAGCAGTGGTCAAGGACATACGGATCAACGTTTTGTGTATGTTGTATTTTCTGTATTAATTCGAAAACCACGAAATCAATATCTGACCGAATTGTTGACGTTAACAATGATGATTATTCTTTAGTCACTACTAATATATATATAAATACATTCTTACTAAAAATACCTCATGTCGACTTTATGATTAAAATCAACTTTTTTGCAGCGTTTCAGTTGAGTTAGAACCACTAGAATGACCGAAACAGTAAGCAACCGATACATGCACATTATACAAACGGCGATTTTTATATTATTTCTTATCGAAATATAGCGGCACATCCATTTTAGTTGATATAATCACAAATAATATTGTTTCTCCATAGATCAAATATGTTCAAAATAACGTAGGCAAGTGTTTTGTTAAAATGAAAAAAAAAATGGCTAATCTTTCCGTCGACTGCTGCTTCTCGTCTCCAAATTGAGAGTCATAAGACGACCTAAGCTCTAAGTCATGACCATATTTTCTGTTCGCGAACAAACAAAATAAAGTCAGTGAATTAGTCAAAGGTTGATAAAGTCGTTGAAACCATGTCGCAGTGTTTATATTGTGCTCTGATGTAAGTTGAAAACTCAATGAACATTTATTATCAAAATCGACAAACGTATCTTCTCGAGCATTCAGATCTCGAATGATCAGATAATTCGACCATATCTCTCGACCAGGTGTCACAGCTCACCAGTGTTCCTTTAAAAGGAAACCAGACAAAGACATAATTGAAATTGTTTTCCCGACGTTAGACATTGCATCAGTGCTTATTTCGAGAACGATACTTGGAGTGTTCCGTTCTATGGCAACAGTATTGCAGTTTTCGGGAAATTTGTTCAAAATGATTAAATCATTGTATCCATATGATCAAATGGGAGGTGTTTTAAATCAAATGCCAAACTTTCGGTTGAAAGCGTTGTTTCCCCTACTTTTTGTATTGTCTTTTTCAGGTTTTGTTTCCATATGTTAAGAAAATTTCGATGCATATTGATATATTGAAAACATAACAACAATACGAACGCTTTTGATGTTTCATTAACAAGCACTCTAAATATATTGCGAAAACGTCACTTTTTGCATTATCCATACCCCTACCCTCCAATATAACATTCTACTGAGATCAAAAGGCGTTATCAGCGGTTGCTATGAGATTCAACTATACAGAAATTATTATTTGTGAAAAAAAAAGAACAACTTTGCGTGACTTGAAGTATGATAATACGCATTTACAGATTTCAAACAGTATGGAGTTCGTTATAGAAAGCATGAATAGATAATACTATGATATGGTTGATACTAAGGGAAACACAAGAAATGGCCAGGGCGCTTATCAATATCATTCTTGCTTCAATAAACATGGCAACTATGAACATATATGCCTTCAGTTCAGGGTTCACACCACCTTTACAACATTCTTACGCTCAAACTTTCGCCAGAAAATGTTCTTGCGACAAATTTTACATTTATGAGTAAAAATATGTTAACCCTTTCACCACTGTAGACCATAATGGACTTCTCAAGATCAAAGCATGAAAGAGTTTACTAAAATTACATAGTGGGGAAAGGTTTAAAGGCATGCACAAGGCGCCGTGGTCAAAATATTAAGTGCAATTCTTCCCTTTAGCTTAGATATTTCTTAACTATAGCATCACTATTACTCTTTAATCTGTTTGGTACAAAGACGTTACGTCAGTGTCTCGATTACCTCATGATTCCCTACAATATTTAGATTACAATTTCGTGTCCCTAAATAATCCATGTACTAGATTACATTTGTCTTTTTCTTTGATTGCAGTTTTTTCTTAAAAAATATTTCTTATAAATTCAAAGATATTGATAAAATGTTTCCGATTCAGAATAAATGTTATCATTAAAGAAAGGTCAACGTTAAAAACAAAACAAACAAAAAAACTGAATTTCGGTCCAGATCCGCTATGACAGTTACATGTGTATATATTTAGTCAACTTATTATGTGTATATATTTAGTCAACTGCTAGTTTGTCCGAAATAACGTTTTTGAGGGAGGAAAATGACATACAGCAAATAAATGTGTCCTAATTAAATCATGTCATGAAGTATTCTAGTGAGTTAAATGTTTCGACAGTCTGACGTTTTCCTTTTATGTAATTTAAGTTGTTTTGTAAGCATTACGTTCTGAATAATCACAGAGTTGATGAACATATTGGCCTAGTTATAAAGATTGTGTTTCATCGAACATTATTGTTTGCTTTTAAATACTAGTTAATTATGGTTGGATGTATTGGAAAACGATTATTTATACCTCTCAAGTATATCCCCATTACCCCTGGTTAGTAGTTAGGGCTTCTGACCACTGATTATCACGTAATGTTTGATACGTACACAGTGTGCCAATAGGAATACCATTCATATGGGATTAGTGATTGTAACAATAGCGTAACACTAATTAGTTAATTGGGCAGTAAATTCATCATGATAAGGAAGCTAGATGGTTCCTGTTTACATTTGGTACAGCTATGTACTGACACAGGACACATTTGCGTAAGATATTGACAGAACAACTGGCATTATTACGCGCCCAAAACTCGCCAGAACTATTTATTATCGCCGAAATGTTATTAATTTCGCATTGTGCACTATTGGCGACCACTGACGTGAACCCGGCAATATTATGTTCGCTTTGTAACTAATCACGTAAGTAGAAACAACGTAATTACGGTTTGTGCAGAATGAAAACAACTTAAACTTCACTTAAATGTCTTGGCGTAAGCTATGTTGAAATGTTAATTGTGAATTCACTTGAATGATGATAACGTCGACAAAACACGTTGTCATGTAAATGGCGTACTCTAGGGTAAGCTGTAATATTAGCAACGGATGTCGTTAAAGAAAACGCCGTTAGTTTGGCAACGTAATGAAAAGAGGCCCGTAACATTACGTCTACTGAACCCGACCGCTTGCTTGAAAACATAATTGAGTTCGTTACGTCAATTAAAACACACCGTTGGCTTCATAACGTAACAAACGGTAAAGAAAACATTGAATACAAGGTGGTCTGGAGTTTATTTGTTTGTCCAACCTTTTTAAAATAAAAACAAATATCAGAGTATAATCCTTTGATAAATATATAAAATTAAAAGTTATCAAATAGAAAAAAGCCAATATAATTAGTCATGACACGTTTAGGTGGTGTAGCTTTACGGAATTGTTTGACGTCCAGGTATTCACCAAAAAAGGTTTCCTAAAGCAACCCATACCTCATTCACCATACATCAGTATACTATCTTTATGACATCAATTAAATATTAAATCATATTTGCGTGCGTGGATGTGCGGTAGTATGTGTGTCTGTATATATATGTGTGTATCTGCATATGTGTGACACTAAATCCTAGAGCAATACATTGCCAATAGTTTGTTTCTTTTTTATATTCCATCCAAACTAGGTTCGCCGCGCCTTGATCCAAGAGTGTCCACAGTACGAAATATGGGGTTGGCCACTCATGCTATTCTAACTATGAATGCCATGTTTCTGTCAAACCCGGAACCTGCATCATTCACATGGACTTTCAAAAACTCTTCACATAATTATTTTACTGAGCTAAACGACGGGACAGACAACTTTGTTATACATAATACACCCTTTTCATCGAACCTGTCAGCTTTATCAGTCGGGACACGTACGAACATAAAAGAGGCCTGGTTTGGATTATATAATGTTACAGCAATAAACAGTGAGGGCAACGGGACAGTCACTTTCACAGTTACTGCTAAAGGTAAATTCATCATTTAGGTACAAAACCGGCATTTTTAGTAAATTCCAGTCGCTTTGCCTTGTTTTTCTCTTGGCGTTTTCGTGGTGTGCTGATAGTGTAAATAAAACCTTATCTTGTGCAGGCGTAGTATTTGATAAGGAAGATCACTCATAAACTTTATTTTAAAATATCTTTTTTGAGATGTGCTTTGAACATGCGGTATCAATTTAGTCAACACATGCAAATTGACATTGTGAAAGCAGTTCCGACGGCTAGACTTTTTGTCTTTCGAGAAAATAGGTATTTACATAATCCAATCCTGATTTTTATCTTTCGCGTATGGCAAAAACATGGAAACCTGGCCAGGTTATGTCGTTTTTATGTTTTTGTAACCCCGGGAATCCTACTCGTTGATGTGTGAAACTGCCATGTGTCATACACTGAAAAGTAATCGTCTGAACACAGATAAAAACATTCAATATCCATTTTTTTAAGATGAATGGCATATCCCCGATGTACCTTTTGTATCAAATACTGATGAAAATAAACAAAGCAAAGTCACAGACACCTAGCAAATATTATCTTCCTGTTCTGGTACGTGTTACCCTCAGTGACCCCATTCTTGATAGTTTTACAGGTATTGTGGCATGCATTGGATACTTGGGATAAATACAAAATAAAGTGATCAGTAATCAAATGCTTCCTTATTTGACACGAGTGTTCCGGTATTTTTTAGTGTGTACAGCCAAAGGGAGCAAACGATTGTTAAAAGATTCGATTCTGAGCACGATTTGTGTAAGATAAGCGCATCCTGTGCGCACGGTCCTGTTGGTATGCTGTCGCAGGCTCACAATAACCTATTTCCACTCTAAAATATATCTAAATGCTGCAGCCGAATTTCCTTGATTATCATCCATAAAATGTATGCATATGTTTAATATATTGTAATATTTGACTACATTTAAAACATATTCATTTATACTAAAAACCATAGAAAATCCAAGTCCACCTAAGATTTTGCAAGTTGACTGTGGAAACCAAACGTCTGCCGAAGTATCGTGGAAGCACAGTTTTATCGTGTTTTATTCAGCATGGACGCCTTTAAAAGTTCGATAGAAGTGTATCCCATGGACATTGCATTTGAAGACGAAAGGAACATTTATAGTGTATATATAGACAATTTGGTGGCAGGACGAGTATATACATTTAAGATTGCAGCATACAACACCTACGGAAATACAACATCACTTGATGCTGTTAGATGTACAGTTCAGGGCGGTAAGTTAGTTACAATCACCTTTTGATACGGTGTTAAAGGTTAATATATTAGCAATGCGAAGAACTTATGTTTGTACATAGGTATAACTATTATATTGTGTATGTCAAGCGTTCGAAGCATTTAAGCTCGATGCCAAGACTTTCCATTAGACTTTTGGCATTCCAGTTACAACAAGTTTTGCCCTTCTCTTGACGGACCCTTTTACTCCCTTATCCACTTTTGATAGTTATGGGTCTGAATTTATTGAAAAGCTAACCACAACTGGCAAACAAAATCTTGCTATGTCCACCCCACCAATTTTTCAATATATCATGAGTTGTTTTTAAACAACATGAACTCATATGATTAAATGTCGATGTCTTAGTGACAAATTGACAAAAGAAGGTTTTGAGAGATACAGTTTAGAATACAGGCTCCTTTTTGGTTTCATTTGCAATCTTATTACATAAAGATGCCATGCTATGGTCGATGCGTTTGATTATGCTCACCTTGTTGTTTCTTTGTCAATATTCTAGGTTTTACTTTTAAATAACTTGGCTTTGACCTAGATTTACACGGAAGGTTTCGTAGACAAGCAGAGGACGCTCACCTTTCCAGAACTCATTGTCTTATCCTTCTTAAAACTTATTAATTGTATCTTTATCATATAAATGTGTCCACTGTTTATATTTTGCCCTTATATTATCACTGTTGAGTTCGAACGACTTAAATACATGTCACATTTTAGCTCACTGTTTGATGACAACAGTTCACTTAATGGATAAGGTAATTTATTATCATATATTTATTGGTTTACAAAAATATACAGATTCTATTTTTTGTTAGATAAAGAATGTTCCTGCGGTACCGACAACATGTATGTAACGGGAGTTGCCCTGATTTGTACCAGTATTCTCACGCTCCTGTTAACAGTTGGACTTGGAATATTCATTAGTCGTATGTATATATTACTCAAATCTTGATTTGAAAAACAAAAAGGATATTGCAAAAATCATATGTTAACAATATTAAAAAAAAAAAAAAAACTGATCAATGTCTTTAACTTGTTCTGTCTAATGGTTTATATCACGGATGAAACATACTCAAGACAACTGCATTACTTCAATTTACGGTCGTTATCTGTTAAACGATAAACAAGTACACACTACTTTTAACATCTACTTATGTTATTTTACAGGAAATGGTAGACTGCCTTTTATGTAAGTAATTTAATGCGGACACCAAATCGACATATATTCTATTTTGGTGTTCATTTGTTATTTTGTCTTGTTGTTAGTACCTTGTTTATATTAATGATAGTATAATGTTGTATGAAGTTTAAGTTAAAAAAACGTGCTAAATACAAATCATCTGTCTATGTTAAGAAAAAAATGTTCCGATATTTGAAGGTATATTTTGAATTGAAAGCTGTAAATTCAAAATATATAATAGTTTTGTATATTGTTTTCTAGAAAAGGTCAGCATCTTAAACAAAGGGAATTTCAGAACGTGCAACTTTCAGAACGAGGTAAGATCAGTGAAAAATGCTTGATATTCTTGTACACGTTGTTTTAGCGATAATATCCAACACCAATACATTATTTTCTATATACAATTCTTAACGTAGAGTAAATTTCGCAATATCGGTAAGGTTGCATGTACAATTCATAACAATACAATACCCAATGCTATATAGCATTCGTTTATTTGTACAAAAGTGAAAAAAGAAAATTTTGATTAATTTATAAAATTTCTGTTTCAGCTGTGACACCCAATGAAGAGGAGGACGAACGGTAATATTGTTTGAACATTCAATTCTTACTCAAAACAACATCTTAGCGTTATGTTTTTATTTTATTAGCTCACCTGGCCCGACGGGCCATGTGAGCTTATACCATGGCGCAGCGTCCGTCGCCCGTCAACTTTTTCCTTTAAAACGCTACTTATCCTTAACGGCTCAGAGGATTTTGACTAAATTTTGTCTGGAGCATCATTGGCCAAATGGTTCTCAGTTTTGTATAAACGGACGGTATGGTCCCCCTGGGGGCAGAAGGGTGGGGCCAAATAGGGGAAAAATAAGTAAATCTTTAAAAATCTTCTTCTTCTCAACCAATAGAAGGATTTTGACCACATTTGTTCTAGAGCATCTTTGGACAAAGGAGTCTCAAGTTTGTATAAACGCAGGGTGTGGCCCTTCTGGGGGCGGATAGTCTGGCCCAAAAGGGGAAATAGAGGAATTTGTTTCTCCTACTATACGAGTGAATGTTTATGGACAAAGAAATCAATTTTGTATAAACAGGTGTGTTGGCCTCATTCTTTGGGCCAGATGGGTGGGGCCCATTATGGGAAACAGGAAAACATTAAAGATCCTTCTCCTTTTGTATCGATGAAGGGATTTTGACCAAATTTAGTCTTGAGCATCATTTGCCAAAGGGTTCTCAGTTTTGTATAAACAGATAAACAAAGGGTATGCCCAACCCTACCCACCCCTGGGGGGAGGGGGGGGGCAGAGGGGCGGGGACAAATAGGGGGAAAATATAAGGATTTTGACCAAATTCGTTTTAGAGCATCTTTGGACAAAGAAGCTTCAGGTTTGTATAAACGGAGGATGTGGCCCCTCTTGGGGCGGATGGGCGGGCCAAATAGGGGAAATACATGTAGAGGATTTTGTATTCTCCTACTTGACAAGTGAAAGAATTTAAACCACATGCAGTCTGAAGCATGCTTAGGGACAAAGTAATGCATTTTGTATAAACTGAGGGGTGTGGAACCCCTTCTTTGGGGCAGATGGGTGGGGCCGATTAGGGGAAATATAGGAAAACATTAAAGATCCTTCTTTTTCTGTACAGGTGAAGGTATTTTAACCAAACTTGTTCTAGAGATTATTCGTTCTTCGGCCGAAGGGAATTTAATATTTATAAAAAAGGTACTAGGAAATAAAAGGTAGTTTGAAGTAGAAAAAAGATAACGATCCGAACTAATTCTATTAGTGCAGCAGGTTTATTCTGATTGCTATCGTCTCTTACAATACATGATATTAGAAACGGCAGTTGTATTATTTTCTCGATCTCCGACCTGCAGCGGTGTATCGTTATGGTTTTGAACAGATACATAGTGATATGTCTTTTAACTGTTAAATTATAATGCTTCAAAACACATTATTGAATTGTTGTATCTAGCTTTATCTATATCTTCACAGATCTCCATACGAACAACTTGATACGAATGAAATTACCAAGGCGTCTGTTTACTCTGAAATAGGAGGTCATCTTCCAGGTAAAACATGCAATCGTCGTATAAAAAATGATGCATTTTCTATACTTTGGCCCCCAAAAGAAACGTTAAATGTTTGTTATGCTATTGTTTCTTTAATGTACAGGAAATTATATAAATTCACACTTTAAAAATCAATATATGTTGTATCAAAGGATTTAACACCAGTTTCATTGAAATGTCCCAATGAAACGACAAAACTACCTTTTATCCAGCGTACGTAATATTCAAACATGAAAACTACGTTGCACAGAAGCGATCAACCGGTTCAACGATCTCATCGATGTCTTCTACCACAGTTCATATAGGAACTCCCTCCAATGTTTCAACGCTTGAGGCTGCTGACGTCCATTTCTCACCGTTCCGTTTTACTGATCCCTGCTCAGTGGAGTAGAAATCTGGAAAAAAGCGATGGCCACTCAAACATTTTGACATTATGTTGACAAGGAAATTCCGTGTTGACAAGGAAAATCTGTATTGACGCGTACGACACGAGCACATTCATATCTTACTGAAACGTGTCGTCATGTGTAATAATAAAATTCAGATGTAATGAACATGTCACATGTTGAATTATGTAAACAAAAAATTATGAGGGCAGTATATATGGGCTTTATTTACTTTACAATTATGAAACAGGTATTATCAATTGATACTCAATATCTTGTTGGTCCTGCTGGACCAAGTGGTTTCAGTGTTGGAGGAAAATTAAGTGTTGTTTCATCTGTATATGAGTAGAGTGCATACAGTTTGCAGAATGCATTGAATACAAACTGTAGAAACTGTGTTATTTACATACAAATAAATGGTTCCGGGAGATAATGTATCTGTGTAATGTTGCTTGTTTTGTAGGTCGCCGGAAAGATCCAGTCAATGAAAAGTGAGTTTGTATTATCACATATTTTTAATACATTTTTGTCACATCATTTAGTGTCTTCAATTTTTTTTACTTGTAGATTTAGGATGGGCATAATTAATTTAAGATATTTAATTTTTGTTTAAGCAGAGAATACGAGTCATTGGAGGGTCGGTCTAATCCAAACGTCTATGAAGAGCTCCAAGGTAAAGTATCTGGTATGTATGGATATATTTTCAGATACGAAATACATGAAATATAATTATGACAAATCCAAACATGTGCACAACTTTTAAAGGGGCATCACGGTGAAGTGACTTTATTTTTTGTCTTTTTTTCAAATACTACATAAACATATCAAGTGAGACTCCTTATGGAAAATAACGATCGGATTTGGCTGAAATAGATTCATAAAAATGATTAAATCTAAGAAAACCATCGGTATTTGTACCTGTCTGACCAACGTTTTGTTCAGGGATTTCCCTCTAATAGCGCATGCGCATAGCACACCATTTCTTTGTAAACAAAATGACTGGCCGTGTGAAGTAAGCGAAAGAAGCGTGTTGTACCGTGTCAGCTACGAAACGAAAAGTTGTCAAATGGTCAAAAGCTAGCGCAAGGAGTACGTTACGGAATCATTATTGCAGGTGGGTAGTATTGAAAGGAGAAAATAACTGCCGTAGCAGTTAGTACGGTGCATGTATTCTTCCGGTTAAGCTGAAATGGAATCGACAGAAATCCTAGCGCTGTTTATGTTATGGATAAATATCTAAAACTATTAAGCTCGCTAGTATATTTGTCTGAGTTTAAACACAGATGAACTTAGTTTAATATGTTAATGGGCATGTATTGGAGAGAGTTTACTTAGTGTTTCTATAATTATACAGTTGTTTATGCGAAAAGGGATAAGTGACTGGTTAGTTTGATTTTTCCATGAGGCCCTCCAAGGGATAACTGTTGTGATGGCCCACGGCGAATTTTCTGGGTCAACGAGGTACGTGTTATCGAAGTCCGTGGATTTACATAATTTATAATATCACCGAGTTAAATAAAATGGAATGATTTAATTATATTGCTGAATTAAACGATTATTTTTGTTTTTACATGCACGATTTAAATTAGTACTAATATGAGTAACCGGCCTCCTCTGCCCCGGCAATATATAAAAAAAAATCAGAAAGGTTTGTCCCTTGGTGTAGGCGGGGATGTGTACACATCCTTGGTGTAGGGAAGGTGTTTAGCCCCGTACCATCGGTACCGGCCATATTCCGGTACTAAATTTAAATATATCTACTTTATGTTTATGCCTATTATCATAGTTGACATTTAATTGTAAATGTATGACGGGGGAAGGCTGTGATAAATTGTAAAAACTTGTGCCCCATCCCTTGTTTAATTTTATTGGCAACATATTTATGTTTAAAGCTGAATAAATAAAAATTCTGAATATTGGCAAGTGTGCAATTAACTTCTAATGGTTAATAATTACTGTTCAATAAGTTTGAATACGGACTTAGAAATCATATAACTTGGTTTCATAGTGCGGTAAGAAGTTACAGTTGCCTGACGGCCCCTCTCTGGGGGCCCCTTTGGAAACCGTTTTATCTCGCTCCCATCACTTGTGTTTACTGCCTAGTCAGGTGACGTTATCGGCGCTATTTTTAGCAGGGCTTTCCCGAACAATTCAAGTGGTCAAACTGGACATTTGGAACGGACTATGAATATGGGGATAGCGAGATAACATAAGTGGAAGTGCTTACAATGCATACATTCATTAAAAAAAAACGCCTTTTCACGTGATGTCCCTTTAATATAGCTTAGCATGAGTCTTTATTAACATCAAAAGACATTAGATTGTTCTGAAATATTCTGTTTTTAGATTATAACTCTTATTGTAAAAGATTTTATACACAAATCAGGTCATTGTATACTTAAGAATATTTGTGTGTCCGTTATTTCTAATGTGTGTTTGATGATTTCCTTATTCAGAATTATAATGCATGTATACATGTAAAATACATATATTTTGGGTACAAACAATTAGGTGAAAAGTAGAATCAGTACATGCAAATATATATATATATAATAATAAAAACTTGTTGAAGATCTTAGGGGACAGGTGTGACACACTAATCGCGTTCAGATCACAAAGCTAGAAGCCAACAATAACAAGTTTTCATCTTTATTTTCAGTTGAGAAAGAGATATATATCAACACCGCAATTACTGAGGGGTCTTCTGGTCACAGGAAATAATCCATCTGGTTTACAACAAGTCGTAATAACGAACAACCTGAGAACGTTTCAATTAATACGTCAGCTTTTCAAAAGACTTCTATCAGACATTACCTATCAAACGAAGACCGGAAACGTTATGAATAATAATCGATATATATTAATCATAGATCATTTCGATTGTTTTAATTATGGATAGATACAGTTGTGTGATTGCACAATGCACCGAAATAACCCTGGACACATCGTGTGCACAATTTGACAAAGAGCAAGTCAGCAGCCCTTATTTCACCTCTGCACTTGTGACAGTCCAGGCATAAGTGTTGAACATGCATACTTGGATGATTTTATTGGGTATTCAGTCGTTACAATATGACGGAATTATTTCGTTTTCCAATACACTGGTTATTTACGTGCTATTTCCGAAAACAGAGAAAGACATATACACGTTTGAATGACTAAAATTAATAGTGTGTCACTTGGTAGGTGCATATTGTTTTCCGCTCCAAAATATAAATATTTTATACCAAGAAATATTTAGAGGTTTACCATAGAGGGAGGTGTTTACTTACTATATCTTGCTATTCATATCTACAATAACAAGAATTTCCATAATACACGACATTGGTAGGATTGTCGCCCATTTATGAGTTCATCTGTCGTCAGATGACAGCCAGTTAATCAGGCGAAAACGCTAGTAAGTATGTTAATAGTTTATTTATATATTTCCATTGTACAGATCACACTTGCACTATGCTATATATGTCTCTCTCTATATATACCCTTTACGACGAACCCTCTATTAATTTTACTGTATATACATGTGTGCCCTGAATGATATTATCGTATATGATGCTCCTGGTATATTTTTAGAAATTGTAGGCTAGCAATTTGACGGCATTTTCAGATTGTTTTTATTGAAACGTGTGGAAGACGCGGTTAAATGGATACCGATAAGACGAGAATACGTTGCATTAGTTTTTTTTTTTAAATCCTGTTTGTAAAGAACTATGTAAACTAATAGTCTAGTATGAGATAATGTGTGCAATCACTTCATTCTGTTTTAAGTAGAAAATTACATTTCTACCACGGGTCAAATTAAAAATGCGAGCACATGATTTCATATCAACGCATATACATGGATTCTCCTTGTAATATTCGTCAACCAAAAAAAATGTTTTTATACGGTTTTTGGCATGTAAACATGAACTTGTGTTAACACAAATGTATTGTTTTTATTACAACGTATGTTGTATGATATACAACGTACGTAGTAACGCAACATAAATCAACATTTTAATTATTTGTTCAATTTGTATATATACATATATATATTACTCGAGTACATTACGTATTCTAGAAGGTATGGTGTTTGTTAAACTATAGTATAGATTTAATATGTTGCTAAATGATTGAAATTCTATTGAAATAGAACTGTTTTACCAGTTTTGAGGATTGGGTAACTAAATATACCAATTTTAACTTGTCTCAATTTTATTCCTTTTATTTTGAATCACGTGATCTTCAATGTCATTTAATGTCGCTTAGTTTAACAAACAACCCACTAACGCCACCATAGTACTGTACTTACCAGATTGCATTAACGTAGGACATATGGCTATTCAGGAGAAGAAGTTCGAAAAAATAACATATTTATGCTAGATTAATTTGAATTAACTTCGTTATCCTTCATCCGAACATGCGTTTAGCTAAATATCATTACTGTAGGCCTGGGTATGCAGAGTACGTTCGTTAAAATCATCAAAAATATGGCACATATGAAAATAGATGAAAGACAATCATTTAATCGAACTTTGAAATAGTTCATCACACCACGCTACTTATAATGGCCCTATACTTCTTTAAACACGAGCAGAACATCTCAAAGTAATACAAAAAAAACAACATTTTGTTATCAATACCATTTCGCAAATGTTGACATTTTCCCTAATAATATACTAGCGGAAAAAATAAACTGCGCATGTATTACCGACTGTATATACATGAAAATGTACATGCATGACCGAGTATGACACATACACACTATCCGTGTGCCATTGGCAGTTTTTCCCGTGCAGTTTGCTCTCTATAGGCGTTGACTAGTTTGCACGTTTTTCTCGTCCGGCCATCCGATTCGACGATGCAAGTTTATTTTTCAACTGTTGGGTCACTCTGTTAAGACCAGTGAACAGTAAAAACAGCATTATAACGTTTTGATTAGTGAATAAGGCTATGCCGAGGCTCAATGAAAATGACCGCCTCTGGATTATTGGTATTTTTCAAGCTGGTATGGGCCAAGCTGTTGTCTCTTAACGTTTCCATGTCCCTCGAAACACAATCCGGGAGTTGTGGAGACGACATCAACAGTTTGGCCACGTCGGCGATCGTCCTCGTGCGGGACGTCAACGTGTGACATCACGTTAACAGGACAACCGTATTTGACTTGTCCATTTGATAAATCGCTACCAAACAGCAAGTTTGACTGCACGGACAATCCCTGGGTTGCTACCAATCCGAGAATTGTACGGAACCGATTGCGTGAACGAACTATCCGTCGGCGACGTCCTGCAATCCGCCAAGTTATTTTGCCACGTCATCGTGTAGCACGTCTGGATTGGTGCAGAACGCATCTGCGATTTAGTCGACTGATTGGGCAGGAATTTTGTTTACGGGCGAGTCGCGAATCCACCTGGATAGTAGTGACGGCCGTTCCAGAGTGTATCGTCGCGTTGTAGAACGGGTCCGTGACGCGTGTGTGGTACAATGACGTTCTTTCGGCGGAGGCAGCGTTACGATTTGGCGCGGCATCACAGCCAACGGGAGAAGCCTCTGGTGGTTGTTAACGGGAATTTGAACGCTCTGCGTTACCGTGACGAGATCCTGCGGACCCACGTCGTTCCATTCGTTCAAGGGCAGCAACGTCACATTACGCTACAGCAGGACAACACCAGGCCATACACAGCTCGTGTCGCTATGGGCCTTCTGGCCCAACAGAACGTTGACGTGTTACCCTGGCCTGCTGTATCCCCCGATCTGTCGCCAATTGAACACGTCTGGGATGAAATGAAAGAACAGATTACGGGCATTACCCAATCAACCGGTGACGTTGGCTGATCTGGCTGTAGCGTTGGTACAGATCTGGAATGCCATCCCACAAGCATTCTTAAACCGTCTGATAGGCTCCATGCGCCGACGTTGCCATGCTTGCATTCAGGCAAACGGTGAACATACGAGGTATTAACTTTGTGAACTCAGTATTGACCCCTGCTGTGTTTACGTCACTCCTGAGCGGAACTTATTGATTCCATAACGTGAAAAAATGGAAGGCAACTGTTGATAAATAACAAAAAAAAATCCCTGAAAACCTTGTTGTTCTACGTCATTCACATTTTTGTTTTATAACACATTTTAGGCATGCACAGTTTCTTTTTTCCGCTAGTAAATTTCCCAAGAAAATTCAGCAATGGCGTCCACTCCATCATACATGTACAAACAAGGAATACCTTACCTTAAACAGGTCAAAATTATAATTTCAAACAGTTTCGATCGTAATCCACCTAGCAAGTAACAGGTCAAATATCATGACTTTTCAATTTTGCATTAACTTATTATAGGATACGTGATTTGATCAGGTGCACAGATGCCTAGATATATTTAACCTTCTAATAAATTACGTAGTTTGGAATAACTTTGCTGAAATATGGCTTTGTATTCAGTAGTTCTACATCTAAGGTCGAATAATCTGCGGAAATATTAAGTATAAATGATTTGATCATTTTATTATAAAATGTACATAGCTATGCTATAGATTTGCTGAGATATTGTTTAACATATCGTGCTTTAATTTATCAAGTCAAATCAGAGCAGTTCTTGTTTTTCTCTCTGTGTGAAGATCTGTATTTGTGGGTAAAACAATAGAGACCTGAATATAATACATATCGTATTGACGTTATTTTTATATTACATCATTGTCACTCCTACTGTTTTTATTGGGCACTTGTATTGTACTATACGTCCTATGATAGCATTCAAATATTGAAATATGTTAATTTAAAATAATTGGCACTTGTAAATGTTTATCTCTTTTATTTAAAATGCATGTTACTTCAAAACGTGTTTAAAAAAAACCAGAACGTTTCAAGTGAGCATCTGACCTTGTGAAGGTAATGATGCATAATTTATTATGTATGTTATAAAAAGAAATTAAATAATTATAACATGATTAAGTCCGCTTACTTAAGGATGAATGTCCCACTGCACTGTCACATTTCCTATTTTCAGTAACCCCCACCCCTTTACCCGACTTTAAATTTCGCTGGCAAGGTAGCTCAGTAAGTGAGAGCGATAGTGCAAAAATCTGGAGAAAGTCTGGGCTTAAAATCCCCATCAAGCCCTGTTTTAATTGTAACACCCAAAGCACTGTTGATGATTATATTTTTTTCTTTCATCTTCATTTATTTTACATAAAAAATCCTACAAGGTATGGTTTTCTTTTCATAAATATTTAATTAAACCTGTAGTCTTGTCAGAAAAAAAAACGGTTCCCAATGCGGTGTCTGCAGCGGAACAAAAATACATAATCGTGTGTGTAATTAGACCATTGTTTGCTTGAAAAGTTGACATTTTGAAGTTACGAGTGCTCGATTGCTGTAAAACGATATTGATGATTGATTTTTTTTATTTTTTCTTAATCTTGAATGTACAAATAAATACATGAAATTTTCAAAATACCTTCTTTTTAAGCAAGCACACAATTGGAAAAGGCAGGTAAAAGTGTCGTATACCGAATTATACTTCAATGGTCATACATAACATGAAAGACAATGTTCTTTCCCAAGGATATGGATGCATTTTGTTTTTCTTCTTCAGAAAAAGACTTTCAGACTGATATTCAATTTTGCGACCCACATGCTGTAATGAGGTTGCTCAATTATCTGATTAATTAGTAGAGTGATTCAAAGTAACAACTCCAGATGTATAAGGGATTGAAAATGGTAGATACAGCAGAAGATATATCGTTAAACTTCTGAAACGACGGTAATGAGTGAAAAGGTCCTATGTAATTTTAACATAGCTTGAAATAGTCCCTTTTAACTCTTCGTCCCGTTCATTTTGTGTGTGGTCGGTGCATATTCGAACTCTTGTGATCTTTTCTTATGTGTTCAATTGTTTCTGAATACAAATGTTTATGTTTTCCCTTTATAGTGCCTAACGTAACAACGATTGGTTTCGGTTTCTCTTTCGGTACATTCAGTAGTTTCTCCGGTCTTTCGATTCCTCAAACAGTTCGGTTGCCTTTAATTACAAAATATTAACGTTTCTCTAATTTCTTTGTCATCTTGCATAACTAGTTTCTTGACTCTTTGATTCCGAACATGTTGATATCAATCTCAAAATCCAGCGTTAATTCAAGCTACGCATTTTGTGTTCGTCCTGCACTAATGCATGTTCCTGTTTCGAGCTTTTGTATTTTGTCAACTTTCAAGTTCATAGGGATCAAATATGCCCGACACAGCTTGGGAATGAAAATGACTTTGACCTAATTTAAAGGTCACAGGGGTCAACTATGTCAAACTCTTCAAATGAATTCACCTGAAAAGCTAAACTGTATATAATCTTCAAATTTAGTGGTGGCTTCCTTGGATAAAGCCTAAAAAAGTTTAAGAATGAAAATGGTCTTGATCTCCTTTCAAGGTCACAGGGGTCAAATAGGACGAACGCTTCAAACGACTGCCTTTGAAGAACGGAAAGGTATAGAATCTTCATATTTGGCTGATGGTTTCCTGAGAAAGAGCCAGACACATTTTGAGAATGAAAATGACCTGGTCCTAAACGGTATAAAAGGCCTGGACTTTGTTTCAAAGTCACAGCGATTTAAGGGGTTAAATGTGTCAAATGTGTCAAGCAGACAACTTCCCCCGAAAATGTGAAATGTAACGTATTTAAATATTTGGCTGGTAGCTTCCTTGGATGGAGCCTGACAAAGTTTGCAAATAAATTAAACTGGATCTTTATTTAAGGTTACAGGGGTTAAATACTTCAAGTGACTTCTTCTGAGGTACTGAAAAGGTATAGAACCTTAATATATGCCTGGTTACTTCTTTAGATTGAGCATGACACATTTTTCGAATGACCTCAACCTACTTTAAAGGTCACAGAGGTCAACAACATTTCAAACGATTTGTTCTGAAGGACCAAAAGGAACGGATTCACAAGATTTGGCTGGTAGCAGCTTGGGATAGAGCCAACAAAGTTTGAGAAGGAAAATATCATTGGCATATTTACAAGGTCACACCGACAAATACGTCAAACA